ATTTAAAGTTTTAGTGCAAAGCTGCAAAATTATCTTTTTTTCCCAAGTTTTTTAAAGGCTAGTAAAAATTGTTAATATTGCAATGTTATTGACATGGCAGCACTCAATCCCCAGAAATTTATTTCTATCAAATAAAAATCAGATGCACTACAATAACTAGGGAACACACCATGACTCACTGAAACATGACCATGTGCATGGGCAGAGGAGAGTTAGAGTCTTCCTATTGCTTGTGAAGTTTTCTTACATGTACCCCAGAGTTTAGGTCCAGACACACAAAGGCAAAAAAAGGTTGCCAACCTATACCTCTCCCTAAACAGAAGAGCAAAAAAGAGGGGATAAAGGCAATAAGTGGCTGGAAACTTGGCTTTGCTCCCTTAGCAGCCGCCAGAAGACCGAAGCACACCCACTACATCTGAAAAAAGGTGCCCAACTAGTTCCTTCAAGAAAGTAAGAGATCCTATCCTTTACTATGTCTAGAACCATGCTGCCACATGCTGCCCATGGCAGGATATGTTAGTAACAGTTATAACAAAACCATGATCACTAAAACAAAATGTCAATACCTGAACAGAACAGCATCACATAAAAACTATGCATATTTAAAGCAGGATGTGTGTGTATTTCTCTTCCAAGAGACTGGTGGTACACCAGTCTCTTTAAAGGGGGTATAGACTCACGGTAGCATATATACAGTGGTTTGCATCAGTAAGTGGGAAATGTATTATTCTTCCTTAAAAATATGTACTCAAATATGCACATGTACATAGTTTTACAGCCATATATAATAACATACATGCATTTCTTTATATAAACGCAGCATATAAATTAGAAAATCTAATGTTAGCCATAGAAATAAGAAACGTTTCAAGATTAACACTGTACATTCAACTGTCTCTTTCTGTCCAGAATTTGTGAGAAAACTTTCAAAAACTCTCACTAGCATTCACTAAATTAAATGGCATTTATGTAACAATATGCACTATTTCTTGTCTCCTTACAAAATTAAAAATGCCCTCTGATGATTTGCAAGTTTATTGTGTGGTTTCAAACCACTAGCAGTACATTGGATTATGGTCATCAAAAATCACATTTCAAGAATTTATGTGTAATACACTACTGAATGGGAAACACAGGTTTGTATGGCACATGGCAATCAAATTGCTGTACAAAAGAATGCTGTATGGAATGGTAAATAAATACAACACAAAGTAAAAAAAAAAAAATCTAAAAATCCACGATTGAAAAATGTCAGCTAAAGCAATGACTTGAGTTCATTCATGATTATCATTGACTGTGCTGTTCTCAAAGATTATTTCAGCACAGATTTTGCTATGGATCTTCTAATTGCTTGCTTTAAAAGTAAACATTTGCTGAGCTGATCCATTGTTCACAGAGTCTGTGGAAATTTAGGGATGGCCGCACTTCAGGAGAGCACCCACTCCAAGCCCAATGCACCAACACAAGATCAAACAAAGTTATTATCATGTGCCACAGATTTTCATCTAACCCGTTCTTAAAGAACTCTAAGAAAGGAGCTTCCATTACATCTATACGAAAGAATGTCCACATTTTCTTTCCACTTCTAGCTTTATTAGACTCACAGTGAAAAAGTTTCCTTTTTTTAATAACTAACCTAGTTATTCTTGGTATAAATTAGATTTCCCACTCCTACTCTTTCTCCAGTGGGCACTGGAACACAATTGATCATCGTCTTTTTACAACAACATTTTATGTATTAGAAGACTTATGTCTCCCTTTTAGGACTTACTAGACTAAACAAACCCAGTTCTTTAAGCCTTCCTTATAGGTCATGTTCTCTAAAACTCCTATCATTCTTGTCGCTCTCCTTTTGTCCCTTTCTAATTTATCTGTCTTTCTTAAGGCATGGTGATCAAAACTGTATATATACAGCTTTTCAGGTGAGGTCTCACCAGCACTCCAAAGAACAGAATAATTGCTTCCTGCTTCTTTTGCAGTATTACCTCAGTCCCAGAATTAGATACAACTTCATTGCAACAGTATCCTATTGTTACCGCATACTATGTGAAACCCATATTTTTTTTCCATGCTATTGCCTCGTCAGTACACGTGACTTCTCCCTTGTATATGGACTTTTCTTAACTGAATTTCAGGTTACTTATTCTAGACTTTCTCTCCAGTTCATTGAGACCGGAGCAGCGTACTGAGCAGTTTAACTTCTCCTATTATGCTTGAAGCTTCTTGCAGCTTGGTTTGTTATCAACAACATTCATGTTTTTTCTATTTCATCACTGAAATAATTTCTAAAAAAATACTCCACAGAAGGAGATAAACAACACACCTCTTTGGAACCCTGCTGTAAATGTCCCTCCTGTCTGACAATGAGTAACAGAAAATTTGTCTGTAGCCTGTCATTTGTATCAATTGCACACCCATCTCATTTTGATTTCATAATTAAATTAAAATAGTGTTATTTCTAGTTACAGCTTTCATTATGGTAACGTATTTTACATCACATATTAATTACATTAACAAATTAATGTATTTATTTGTATATTACAAACATATGGTAGGACAGTGTGAAAGGCCTTACGAATTCAAAGTATGTCACAGTTACCACTTCCTTCTTTCGCCACAAACCAGTTACCCTATCAAAGGAAATTAGATTTGCTTGACATAATTTGTCCTTGACAAATACAGGCAGACTAAATATAGGATGGGTATGCTATGTAACAGCCATCTAGACCTGCATTCTGTTTTAGAGAGTGGCCCAAAACTGTCACCTAGGAAAGAGTACGAGAATAAAGTGAGTACACAGTGATAAACAATCTCATATCTTCAAGAACGTAATGTAAAAATAGCTTATCTGGTCTAGGATAGGAACCACTCACTGGTGATTACAAAAAGAGGATCGGGGCAAAGCAAGTATGAAGGGATCTGATATACACTGAGATGGATAGATAGATAACATCATGCAGTCTGATACGGATGTCAAGCTACTGAAAATGAACAGTAAAAAGACTACTGACTTTCTATTGATTCACTGATTAATAATTTATTCCATAACTTTCCAGGGTCTAAAATAAAGTTATTCATAAATCTTCATACATTTTATGTATAAAGATGAGAACAGTGTTTGCCTTCCTCGACCCTCCAAGGATCTCCTGTATCCTACATGACAGTTGTTGAATATAATCAGAAATAGTTCAGAGAAAACTGAGAATACTAGTACGAGTAAAATAGCTAGTATTTTATGTGCTCTATCTTTAAGCATGCACTCATCTCCATCATTCATATAATTTCTTACGTTTTTTAAGTTCTTAAAGATGTTTTGATAAAGACCTCATTATGCTTCTTATCTGTTCTCTTCCCTGAATAACCTGTTATTGTGCATTGAAAAGCACCTTCTTCACTAACTGTTAGCTCTCTTGCATTGTCTTGTCCCTCAAATTTTCTTTACAAGTTCAGGCTTCTTGAATTAGTTGAAACCAGTGTCTGGGTTTCAGTAACACAGAGGTGGCTGTTACCTGTTTTTTTACATCTCTTGCCTTCATTCTGTTTTTCTCATTCTATTCCTTGCACAAAGCCCAAACCTTTTATTTCATGGTCATTTTCAGACAATTTTGCCTTCTTTTATAAACTTAGCCAACTTGCCCCTGTTAATGAGAAACAGAACTAAAACCAAGACAGCAAGTCCTTAATAACTTTCTCCACTTTCTGAAAGAAAAAGTTGTTCTTAACATGTTCCAAGAACCCGAAAGATTCTGTGCTCTGTTGTTCAGGTTGTGGTTTGGGTTTTTTTTTTCAGTTTGTATCCAAGAAATTGAGTTTTCTTTTATTTACTAGTTCCTGTCTTTAGTACAACTCTATCGGTCATTCTAAAAAAAGCGTCATTTGCCTCTGTCTCCTATTCTTGATTAAGTAGTCTATCATACATCCCCGTTTTAACTTCACCAATGTCTTTCCCTTTTATTTCTATGCAGATATAATGAACTTATAAACTAATTTAGTATCAAACAATGATTCCAAATATAAAAACAGTGGTTTATTTTGCCCCAGAGTTCTCTACTTGAAAAAGAGTTAGTTACTTCTATGAACAGTTTTTCCTACTCCAGATAGATACATACATGGGTAACCTCCCCCCTTGTCCTACTGTGACTGAGTTCCTCCTAAAACTCCTACAGTTTTCAACTCTCACTCGTTGTAGTAGGCTAGTGTCATATAGTGAAAAGAAGCCTGTCTTAAAATTTGAAAGTCTTCTTCAGGCCAGATTCCATCCATAGCTGACAAGCTCTCCACTTACTAAGCATATTCATCTGAAATGAAACAGGGCACCCAGCATCCGCTGGAAACTCATGGCATGCTGGCAGCATAGCTTACATATATGTTTTAATTTCAAAATAGAAATTTGTTTCTTGAAATTTCATCTACTACAGCTCAGCTTCTCTCATTTGTATTTCTTGTGGTTTAGTATTTCACACACATACCTACTTGGATGTACACACACACACTCTATTGTTTACCACAACAAATTTTTTACCTTATCAGACCCAGATCTCAGAAAACAATTACAAATATTAAATATAAAATGTTTGCTGGCAGAAGGGTATTTAAAGGATGAGATAAAGTTGGTCACTAGAATTTGAAATAATCTTTTGGTGTGTATACATACAAATATAATGTATACTTTATATAATTACATAATGAATTAAAGAATTAATTACTTTCAATACTGTAACTTTATAATGATAACTAGCTATAACTAATAACTAGAACATTATTACTATTAGCTATAGCAATATTACAGCTTTATTTTCAATATTATAACTGTAAAAATAAAGCAGATACTTTATTCTTAGTGGATTTGGTCTTTAAGCTTTGCAGAAATAAAAGGCGCAGCAATTTCTGTTTGGAATCATCTGTTTTCAAAGACATCAAAACAATAAACTTTTTGGTCAAAGTGTCTGCTTCATCCAGTTGTCTAGGAATGTACTTGTAACTCTGGACACTTAGCAAATTTACGCCTATTGACAGCAATATTATCTGAAAAACCACATTAAAGTATTCCAAAAGGCAAAATCTTGGCATGCTGACAAACCACAGAACATCACAACTTCCTCATTCCAAACATATACAGTGTAAATATTAATTTAGAACTATGTGACAGTAAATACCATTAATATTCTAAAATACTATCAATAAAAGCAAATTAGTTACATATTTGCAAAAATATTTTTGCTTGAAAAAATGTATATATTTGCTTTTTCACCTTGAGTGGAGGAGAAATAGTTCAATGCTAGCGTGCTCAATTAACATACTTCAGAAGACCATTTTATGAGGACAGTTATTTGTCCTTTCTGAAACACAGGACTAAGAAGAATAATATTCTAAGAAGAATAATACTGAGTTACTAAGCGTTTTTAACCTAATAAATATCTGCAATTTGGTTTATCTTGCCCAGTTAAAAATCACTATTGATTTTAATCTGTATCTATTATTTGCAAGCTTCAACAGAAAGATACTTTTGAAAACAGATTAGAACCATTGGTTTACAAGCTGCCAAAGAGAACTGCTGTACAGGTTTTTCAACACGGATGATTAATCCATTTATTTCAAATAAACAAAAAAATATCGCAAAAAGTGCATACTTCTGAAATCACGAGTAATCACAAAGTAGGAAACTTTTCACTGTTTTTCTACTGGAAAAGCTGACTTATGAAATGCTGAAAATAACTGTAAAACTTCTAAGGAAAGGTAAGAAAGAAAAATAAAAGACACCAGACAAGAAGACAAAATTTTTAAATTCTTTCAGGGACAGAAATAAATACCAAAGCTATTAGTTTTGGTTCAAAGAACACATCACTGGCTTATTATTTTTTTGGAGTATTTATTTTATCATGAAATATCAAAATAATAAAATTCTAAAACTGAAGGTGAAAAAAGTGGCGACTAACCTGATCTGGAGAGGGTCTGTGGTTGGAGTGTTGTGGCCTCCCAGGAGATCGGTGGTGGTGGTGGTGGTGATGGTGGTGATAGTGGTGATGGTCATCATCGTAGTTATCTGCCATCAGTTTCATTCTATTTTGCGTCTGTTTAAGATGTAAAGTGAGACAATTCTATTACATGCTGGAATATATTACTCTAACAGTGTTTTAGGAAGATCTTAGCTCCTTCTTATCTGTCTCTTTTTTTATTTTTTTTTATTTTTTTTTTAAAATAGCTGTAGGGACCGAATAACAGAAGTCCAGGCTGCTGGCTTACAAAGAAAAGGAAACAGAAATAGAAAAAGATAAAGTATGTGAACACATCTTCTCTCTCAGTTTTCACACAAGTAGAATTGCACAAAGAAATCAGAAAAGGATATGATCAAGGATGTTGTGTTTGAAGGGCGTCAACAAAGACATTCAGCTTTTCTAAATTTACTATTTTAGAAGAGTTTCCTATTTTTCCAGTCTAATATTATGTCTTGCCAATTAACTTGTAAAATCTCACTGAAAGAATATTAAATGTACTTCAAATATTTACAGTTAGCTACTGAGGCATGTCAACAACACTCATGAATAGCTATGCTAAAAGCTCTATTTTGGCTTAATTATTTTAACTGTACACTAGGATCATCCTGCTAAACAGTAAAGAATCTGAAAACTGATACAGACACAGGCACTTAGAGAAATCAGCAAATATGGAACTTGACACATATTACTGAATGAAAGTAAGTCTTAGATACAGATCTTGAAAAAAAGATCAACACTTCAGCTACTGCTCTGTACAGATAATAAAATCTATGTCACCCTGAGATAACAAGATACACCGCTGCTCTTTATCACTATTACAAGTATTCCATACCATGAGATACATAGACTGGAATAATTCAAACCTTGCTCATAATACCAAAAATATCTTACTACCAATTGCCCAATAGCAGTGGATACAGTACTTCTCTTTTTCTGTTAGTAGGACTAACTAAGGCTGTCTCAGGCAAACTTGTCACCCTGTAATCATGTACTTATTTTTGCACTAATAAAACCCAGAAGAAAATGCTGTCAACTCTCAAAGACCTTTTCCAAAATTAGAATAATAATTTGGAGGCATATGCAATTAATATCATGCAGATGACTGAAGGAAAGATAGTCTTAACACACTTAATATCATCTTCAGAAATCTCACCTGAACCCTCCTTCAGGAGAAAGGTTGTTCTTGAAGGAGCATTATCTACTTTGTGCCAGTTGTCTATGTGGACATGATTTGAGCTGGTCAAGCACAAACAAGTCTACTTTGCACGTAGAGACTTTTGGTGAACAGTAAACATAAGGGACTGAAATCAATTGCAAAAAGCCACGGTTTAGTTCTACCCATGCTGCAGGGTAGCAGGATTCATGCTAACACCAGTGAGAATGCTAGCTAAACACATTACCCCAAACTAATAAGTTCTAAAGGACCAAACACAGAGATACATTTAAACACAGCTCCTTTGTTTGGGTATGTTCCTATATTAACAGGCTTCCAATTTGAAGTGCCCATGAGATAGCTAGTCTCCCATAGGTTGTAAGTAGGAAAAATTTAATTCCAGGACTATTGTAAATTTATTTTCCTATGAGAACAATCTTATCTCAAAATCTCCATTAGGAAAATCTGACTGGTAAGTATATTTTAATAGAAAATGTAAAAACTCAGAGATTGCTATTAGAGTCCCCAATTTTATTGTTTTTTGCTAAAGTAGAAAAGAGATCTGGGAAAAAAGCAAGATAAATATTCATATTACACAATATTTGAAATATAACAAAATCTAATGTAAGGAAAACTATGAACTACAGGGATCACAGGAAATCCTGATGTGTCTTTTCAGCATTTACATTTTTTTGAAACATCACAGTGCTTCTCAAGCACTTAACATGATGTCCATTAGAAAGATCACAGAAAATCATTTTACAGGAGGGGACCTGTACTCAGTTCAAGTAAAACCCACCAACAACCAAACCAAACCCTTAAGGCACCCACAATAGCAAGATAAAGGAACAACAGCAGATTGGATATGCACATGTTTAGCCACCCTTAGACTCTTTCTGAGCATCTCTACAGCACTAAAACAGCATCTTCTCTGTGTGTTACGGAATGAATGTCCTCCAAAGGTCAAGTGGTGGATTCCTTTCAACAGCAATTGCATGGGCACTATACGGTATCATTTCAATTTTTTAAATGCTATTTTCTGCACAGTTGGAACCATTTCCTTTTCTCCCTCCTGGATAAGTAGGTGGAAGCGTACAGCTGTATGAATTTTAGCTATGAATTTCTATCAATTTTGCCGAAAGACCAACTCAATCTGAATCATCATAGTTGGTCTGTTTGTCTTTAGGTTCAAAGAGGAAGGCCTTTTCAACAAATGAGTGGAAAAGGTGGAGAATTAACAGACAAATAATAACCCAGTTACTGTAAACACTGTAATATCCTACCTCTTTGGGGAAGCTCCTAACATTTTATTAGTTTATTTTCTTATCAATGAACAGCCTTAAATTTCCTACCTTTCAACTGTATTCCATAAAAGAATGTAAAAGTTAAACAAGATGATATATGCAATCCTAAAAGTGTCCCCTGTAATGAGGTGTTGGGGATTAGACGTGTCATGGGATAAGAACTGTAAATGAATGATGTCATCTTTCTAATTTGGTGCTGAAATATAAATAAACCACTTCTAATGTTTCTTCCTTTTGGACGCCAGATTGCAGTAAAATGTGCACAAAGAAATGTTAACACTGTAGTAGGCTTCCTTTAGTGTGCCTGTTGCGGAAGCAAAATATATAAGAAATGTGAAATGAGAATTTCTTTTCCATTCAAGTGATCATCAAACTATGCAAACTTATACATGACTTGTGATTGTCATTAATTTCTTAAAATGATGCTAAATATTTTGCAAAATCTTATTTTTAAAAGCTTTTTGGTTTTATTTGTTAGCTCTTCATAATGATAGCTAATAAGATTTTGAGGTTCTGTTTGTCTTTGCTTTAGCTGCTATCAGAGTGCTATACTTCCAAACCAAACTGTACTTTCCAGGTATGCTTAGTTTTGACTGAAAACATAGTATGATTTCAAACTTTTAAAAGCAGGATGAGGATTTCTGGAAGAGGAACAAAAGTAAAGCCATCCAGAGCAACAACACAATCCTTTCCAGGTCCTTCTAAACAAAATCTGTAACATTACTTCTATTTGCTTCCCTTGCTAACTCTTTTGTCTTTAGTAGGCTTTGAAACACCAGGTATATTTTTATTTGAGAAAGAAATTAATTAACCACATTGGAATTTGCTCAGGACCCCAGGGCTTCACACCCCTACACCTACATACAAGCACATACACAAACACGCAAAAAGATGTATACATTTTAGGACGTTGGTTTATCAAACAGACAGTAAATCCTCATGGTCCGGGTCTCATATCAATGCGTTAGGACACTGCTTCAGTACTGACTGCGAGGGAAAAATACCACCAACTGCCATCATTTCCTTCAACATCTTCAGCATATTTGAAAACTTCCTATGCAAGAACATCCAAGACCTTTTCTTAAATTATTTTTGAAAGCACAACAGATTATTCAGTATGACTCTTCTCGATGATCAGGAAACTCGGTCTTGGATAGTACAAGTCGTGAAAATTACAATGATGAGCATACATGCATTTAAACTGTGCTGCATAGAATTTGCATCTATGTTAGTCTGCTTGTGTTACTCCATATCTGAAATAGTTATATAGTTCAAAATCTTATTCACATTTTCCTCTCAAAACTATTATTATTCATACAGTTTTCCTGAAAACGGAGTTTCTCAAAATTTGCATAGCCACAGCTCTGACAACAAAATTATCATACCAGCAGTCCTTTTTGAAAATGCCTGGTGACCACCAGGCCCACCCCTGAAAAGGAGCAGCTTTTAATTTGGATTTATAGTAGGAAAGAAAAAAATGTTAACTTGTAAAATGCAACAATTCATTAACTGCATCTCCTACAGACCATGTATAGCTTTATTAGTTTTAGCCTAAACAGTTCCCTCATTTTTTTGCTTTAAATTTATTGACTACATTCAATAAATACCGTGTCCATTTTGAAATACAGGAACGATAGAGGAATTAAAAGCAGCTTAAATCTAGGTGCACAGGTATATTAACCCTTAGGGCTTGAAACAGTTGTCTTTGATCATTCAATATCACTGTTTGCTAAGCTGTCAAGGTCATGAATGGTATGCGTAACTGAATTTTTAACCCACTTACCAAAGAATTTATGGTCTAGCACTGTAAGAAAACTGACAGACATTTCTTGTCCTCCTAAAATTCTGTTGAGTTTAAGTAAGGATCTACTGAAGTGAAATGAAAGTCTTTGATTGACTGGTAACAGACTAAATAGCTTAACAGCAATCTGTAACTGTAAAACTATAATATTAAAACTGTCTTTTAAAAAATATTTTAGCAAGGTGGCAATAGGGAACTATGCTTTGATCTGTCATCTGGATCAAGTTAACAATAAAACTCTCATGAATGAGGTTCAAATGAGGAAAAATAGTAAGATTTGTTGCTCTGGGATATAGGTGTAACACCATTCAATAGCTATTACTTTCCTTTGAATTTTCTTCTCAATCTCTCTTCACTAATGGAATTCAAAGCATTTCTAGAATATTCACTTTCAATAGGGTAGGATTTTTCCCTATATAATATGGGAGGGAGGCAGATATCAGGCCTGCAAGCTATCCTGGAAATATCCTGTGGTCTAATTATTAAAGCATGGAATTTAAAATCTAGAGACCCACATTCTAGCCTCTATTTCTTGCAGTCTCACTATTTGAAAACAAGCATGCTAATGTTTCCACAAAGCATTCTGAGATCTTCATGTGTCAGATTTTTAGTTCTAGTCTTCCTGATTTTTACTAATAAATGATATAATCTGAGCTTTTTTCCTAAGACAATAATTTTAGAAAACACAAATAATTTTTTTACTTTGAAATCCAGAAGGTAAGGAACTAAAAAATTGTGTGCTTAAGACTACATAGTTTGCCAAGTTTATCCAGAAGTTGCATAAACTTAGTGGAACTACCCTGAATTTAATGAAAGC